GGTTTAGGGGTTTAGGGTTTATGTGTCTAGGGTTTAGGGTTACGTAAGGTCTGGAGATGAGGATGGAGGCCCCATGCCTGCTTCAGTTGTGTTTTTGGTTTCAGGCTTTAGGATTTAGTGCTACATCACGTTGTATGATAATGTAGTATAGTATAGTACGTATGATATAGTAAAACATAGTATAATGGAATATATTGCAGTGTCGTATAGCGTAGTATAATATAGTTTGGGCTTTCAGGTTTTCTGAAGGCGCGAGATGGAGACCATTGGGAAGCCAGGCCGGCGCTAGAATCCAGAAGAACTCGACATGGTTTAGCCTTCATAGAACAGGAGTTCCAAAAAACACCTAACCTGAACCCGAAACCCCAAACCCGAAACCCGAAACCCGAAACCCTAAACCCGAAGCCCTGTCAACTGTCGGTACCGCTCCACGCAATGCTTGCCGAGCATGCCCACTTGCATGCAGTGCTGCCCGCGTGTAAGGCCTATAGAGCCCTATAATACAATACTATAAGATTGGTATTGTATGTGTATCACAACAATATAGTATAGTACAGTATAGTTCAGTACAGTGTAGTGTAGTATAATATAGTAAAGTATAGAATAGTATGTCATAGCACGTAGACGCACGCGCTCTTTCACCTTGGCGGTGCTGTCAAAGTAGTAGACATGGAAGAACTGCGGCAACCCTGTCAAAGCAACCGACACACATCGCGGGGTACGTCTTCGGAAGCTTTTCTGAGCATGCTTTGGGTATCAGCCATTGTAGGTTCCGCGGAAATGAACGCAAAGAACCAGAGCTCTGGCCATGACAAAATAAAACTGAAAGAGCTGGAGACCCTGCTAGGAAGTGCTACGTCAAGGCAGGATTGGAAAAAAAGCTATTCCAGTCTATGGTGGGGGCACGCATCAGCTGGAGTCGTATTCTCCGAGTAGTTGTGGCCGGTGCCCTCATATCACAACCACGTGGTTCGTTTGAAAACGGATGCCGAATGAAGGAGCTGCGCAACACTGACATAGACGTGGAGACGTGGATTGGCAAAATTTCGTTCAATGGAGTGCATACCGAAAGTAAGAGACGAAAACTGAGCTGCTGAGATGTAGGCTGGAAGACGGCATGTCGTTGTCGTTCTTGTGGCTGCTCGTTTTCTTAGGCAGTGTTTCTCTACTTACTGGCGTATTTATCATAATGATCCTGCGGGTCATGAAGACAACAAGAAGGAATACATGTGATGATGATGGTTATGATGATGGCGACGATTCGATGATGTTCGTCTACAATGAAAGCATATATGGTGAAGATGAATGATGATGGTGCTGATGATGGCGGTGTCGATGGCGATGATGCCTTTGGCACGGCAATGACGGTGAGACTGGTGGTGATGATGATTCTCATGAACATGCCATGGGTGATAACGACAGCGACGATGATGATGATGACGATGATGATGGTGCTGGCTGCTGGTATCGATGTTCATGTTGACGGTACTGCTGATGATGGCGGCTTCTAGTTCTGCTTTTCACTGTTGCCTTCAATCCTGGCAAGGCCATGGAAAGTCAATTGAAGCGCCTGGAGGTTGGTTGGCCTTGTTGTCGCCATTGCATGCCAGAGGGAACTGTTTATCCCCTTTTTGGGGGATAGGAATGCCAGAGGGAACTGTGTATCCGCTTTTTGGGGGTTGGGAATGCCAGAGGGAGCTGTTTATCCCCTTTTTGGGGGGATAGGAGCAGGGACGGACGCAGTTGGGTGTTTAGGATGACACGGGTAACACGGCACAAGACTTGGGGTGACATCGTGCGATGTGAACAAACGGCATTACGTCAGCAGATTCCAAGATGCCCAAGGTCATCGCTTGCATCGTTCAGCATATGATCCCTGAACCCTAAACCCTAAACCCTAAACCCTCAGCCCCAAACCCTCAACCCTCAACCCTAAACCCTAAACCCTAAACCCTCAACCCTCAACCCTAAACCCTAAACCCTAAACCCTCAACCCTAAACCCAAAAAGTGTTTCATGATGCGAGAGTCGCAGGCAAAGTGTGGCCAGGAGCTGCCTGGAGCTAAGAGCAGCTCAGAGGCCGACATCTTTTGCGCGACCTCGTCCTCTTCCGAGCTGTTTAGGGTTTAGGGTTTAGGGTTTAGGGTTTAGGGTTTAGGGTTGCTATGTGGTGCCTGCTAGCATCAGTAATGGTAATGATCGTTGTTGCTACTAGCAGCAGCGAAAACACCAACAGGAACAGTAGCAACATCAAGACACAACGCTGCAACCGCAGCAGCTCCTCCTGCTCCTACTCCTGCTACTGCTATTGCTGCCGCTGCTAGAGAAGGACGACGACGTCAATCGACGACGACGACTACTACTATTACTGCTATTGTTGCCACCACCACAACCACCACTAGAGTTGCGCTTGCCAAGGCTGGAAGACAAGCGACCTGCAGAGATCAATGGTGAGGAATGGCAGGCACGCTGCTTTTTCTTGTCCGCCGTACCTGCGTGGCTTCACAGCAGACAGCACAGAAGACCAGCAGCAGCAACAGCGGGATCGCTGGAGCCCAACACCGAAAACCTTAAACCCGACACCCCACAACCCCAAATCGAGCCCTAAGCCTAGAAGCCAGCGAAGGACAAGGCTCTCAACAAAACAAAAAAACTTCCGTATCTGGGCAGGACTTGAAGGAACAGAAAACCCTACAGGCTATAACCCCAAAGCCTTATCAGACCTTTACAAACCCTTGTAAACTCACTGCGCAGCCTAGCCCTAAAGCGTTTCGCTGGCCAGGACCTGAAGGAGCAACTTTGGGAGGAGATGTATTCGAAGCTTCAAAGCGAGGCCTCTGACAACCCTAAAAACCCTAAAAAAGCCTAAAAACCCTAAACCCTAAAAACCCTAAAACGCCTAAAACGCCTAAAGAATCCTAAATCCTAAACCCTAAAAGCCCTAAAGACACTAGAAACCCTAAACCTTAAACCGCTAGGGAACGGTTGGCAAGCGTGTTCAGCTCGAGATGAGGATTCAGTTTTTTTGGTTTGGGGGCTCTACAGTTCAAGGTTTGGGTTTAGGGTTTAGGGTTTAGGGTTTAGGGTTTAGGGTTTAGGGTTTAGGGCATAGGTTAGGTTTGAAGTTTCGGGTTGAGTGCTTTAGAGTTTGAAAGTCTCGGGTTCAGGGCGCTAGAGTTCCAGGTTAAGTTTCAGGTTTTGGGTTTTAGTGTTCAAGGTTCAACCTTTATGTCTGAGGGTTTGGTTTGCTTTTTTGGGTTAGGGGGTTTCGGGTTCAAGGGTTTAGGGTGTAGGTTTCCAGGTTTGGGCTTCAGTGCTTGAAGGGTTTGTGTTCGAGGTCTAGCGGCTGAGGGTGTAAGGATTTCGGGTGCAACACTGCAGGCTTCAAGGGCTAGGTATCAGGCCCTAAACCCTAAACCCTAAACCCTAAACCCTAAACCCTAAGCCCTAAACCCAAAGCCCTAAACCCCAAACCCTAAACCCTAAACCCTTTAAACCCTAAACCCAGGATTCGGTAGTGAGATCACGCAGCCCGATATCTCCAAATCCCAAAGCCCTGAACCCTACTAAACTGGGTTTAGGGTTTAGGGTTTAGGGTTTAGGGTTTAGGGTTAAGGGGTTTAATTTAAGTTACCATAATAAGGAAACCTTATTATTTACTATAGATCCCTATTATGGTAACTTAAATTAAATCCCTTAACAAGAACCCAGTAAACCACCCAGAGGTGGCAGTGCAATCGGCCCGCCTGGCCAAAAAGACGGAGGAGCAGATGGCAGCCGCTGATAAGCAGTTCGTACCTGAGCGGTTTAGGGTGTTGAAGTTTTGAGGTTCAGGGTGTCAGGCCTTAAGTTATCAAGAGTTTGGGCATTTAGGGTTTCAGCGTTTGTTGAGGGCTTTTGGGATTTTAAGCTTCCGGGTCGGGTTGCAAAGCTTGGCAGTCAACTCCCCAACTGAAGGCAGCCCGTCGTCGGACTAGTAGGATGATTGATTGCTTGCCATTGTCACTGACATTGTTGTTGCGAACTACTGCCAGTATCATTTCCATACTCGTTGCAGAGATGATACGGTTGATGGACAAAATCCTGCATGACCTTATATACCTAGACCTAAACTATGGGATTTATGGTACTATACTATATTTGGGTCATGCAGGACTTTGTCCATCAACAGTAGTATGAAGAATCTGTTACTAGGAGCACGTCTATGGTCACTGCTGTTATGGGGACGCGCTCAGCAAGCCCTGAGCCTCTGCACCTTGATGTGGGGGTTTCCAAAAATAGGGGACCCTAATATAGTACCCTAAATAATAGGTTCCTTATTATAAGGACCCCAAAATAAGGTACCCTTCCCCTGTGCTGAGGCTGACGGAGATACTCAGCAAGGCTCACAGCCTGCTGATGCAGACCGTTACGCAAGTGACGGAGCAGTGCGCTCAACTGGAGGAGCAGTGCATATCCAGGCAGGATGGGTCTATAGCGTTTTTATATCATCATAGTATACTTATATTATGTCATATTATGTTGGCTGGGGTTATTTCTATTTCATGTTAGCTACATTAGTTTGCATTACATTATGTTGTATCAGATTAGGTTACACAATGATGTTACATTATACTGAACTATATGAGATGGTATTGTGTTCTATGTTCTATCATGCTTTATCAAGTTCTACCATGTTGTACAATGTTATATCACGTCATCATATGTTTTATCAGGCTACATTAATCTTGTCTTATCCTATCTTGCCTTATGTTACAATATTGGACTATACTGTATTGCATCATATCATATCATATTATACTACATTCTTACTGCATGGTATGTCATGTTCTATGATACCAAATCAATTATAACGCATTACGCTATGTTATGCTCTATTAAAACATAAGGTGTTCTATTAATATATGTTTTTGGTATGTTGTGTTTTGTTATATTACATTACATCACATTGTACCATATAACATTATATCATCTCATATTGTATCAGATTATGTTATATTACACGGTATTATATTATACAGCATCACGTAGTTATAGTATATAATATTCCATTAGATTAAATTACATTGCATACGTTTTAGTATGATAGGTTATGTTATGTTTTGTTTTAGTATAGTTTATACTTTATTCGACTTGTACTATGTTATATCATACTGTATTCCATTAGCTTAGTCTCTGTTATGTTCTGGCGTTGTGTTTTATCATGCTATATCGTACTATATTACATCATATGCTATCACATTGTACTATAGTAGATGATAGCGTATTATGTCGTAGTAGAGTAAAGTCTAGTCTTGTCTAGCATAGCATAATATGGTGTATGGTGTCTTACATGATGTTATACTGTACTATATTGTACTGAGTACGCTATATCGTATTATAGGATGTAAGGTTTGGCATTGGATGTTGGTGTTGAGGGGTTGAGGTTTGTTGTTGAGGTTTCTGGCCTGAAGACGCTTGCGTACCTGTGGCCAGACGACGATGTGATACTTATGAACTTCTGAATAATTAGTCTTCAGGTCCCCCTAGAGTCCTTATATGCGAAACACACTATACTATTATGGTTTACCACCTGAAATCCCACTCCAACTAGGAAGCCTCCTGTTTTTGTCGATACATCAGAAAATACCTCCCCAAAACCACTTCTAATTGTGAAGGCCCACGCATAAAGCACTATAGAGGCCGCTTCTGGCAGGTTGTCACGACGCAGCAGCCAGGTCTTTCAAGAGATCAGGCAGCTTCAGGGTGGGGGGCCCAGTTGTTGCAAGGGTACTGTAAGGATGCTATCAGGCTATTGTGCGGGTTTCTATGAAATCGACAGTGGATGTTGCTGTTGAGTATCGAACCAGAGTGCTACAGAGTGCTCGAGACGTCACAAAGCTGTACTGCTCGGTTCGATCTTATCCTTGCTGCACCGCATGTCACTGTTTTTTCGGCGGTATAGTATAGCATAGTCCGACGAGATGTTGTATAATATAGGGGCCTCAATACTTACCTATATTATTTGGGGGGTTCCTTGTTATTATCCTAGTACAATGGGCCCCAACCACCCGATTCTAATTATTAAGGCCCGTATGTTATGCTGACACACCTCGACAACTTGAACCCCAGGCCCTGGAAGGTCTCCATCTCGTTGGATCTTTCGTCCAGAACACTTAAACCCGCATCCTGAAGCTAAAAAAGCCCACACCGATCGAAGGCCTTAAATCCTGAATCCCAGATCCTCAGCCATTCCGATCTTTCGGCTCATGGGCATACGCTGTTTTTCGGAAGAAAGATATCACAAAACCCGAGTCAACTTGGTATGATCGATAGTAGCAGGGGCATTGCAGCATAGTGATAGCAACAGTTGCAATGCTAGCACCGTCAGACGAACGTGCTGATCGGGATGGTCGAAAAATCGTCTTAAGAGTCAGGGCAGTCAGCAGTCGTAATTGCGATAGTTGCACTGACCGTGCTCAAAGTACCCACAGTCTGACTAGCACACCTGTACGAGCGCTACCAATATCATTTCTGATCCCTAAATCCCAAAACGTACACTCACAGCTCTGAGCCTTAACACCCATACCCGCAACCCTAAACCCAAAGCCCTAAACCCTAAACCAGAACCCTACTAAACCCGAGACAGAACACTCCGAACACGAAGCCGTAGACTCGAAGTTTGCACCGTGGAAGCTTACATTAGGATCCCAAAAAAAACATAAAGCTAAGCATTTTGTAGGGATATCCCTACCTTATTCAGCTAGCGGATGTTACGGGGGTCGAGGGAGGTTGTGGAAGCCCGGATCCGGCTCTGGGGCTCTAGGGCTCTAGGGGTTTAGGGGTTTTAGGG